CTCCCTGCTTGGCTGAGCCAGCCTGGAGGGAAGGTTTCAGAGAAAGCAGCTGAAGGAAAGAATGCAAGAGACTGGGGAGTGAAACAGGGTTTGAGGCTGAGGAGGAAGTCCCGTCCCCCCCCCCCCACAGCAGCTTCCGGGTGGGCTACTTACACTCAGGCTCCCACGCCTTGGCTGACTCACCCCAGGATCCAAACAGCCAGGAACCCCCCCATCCTTGCCCTCCTCCCTGGTGCTGTCATGTCTTCCAGGGGACACAGCACTGCTCAAGATAAGAGCCCCCAGTACCCCCCAACATGCCTCCGGCTGGCTTTCTCTTCCATGCTGGCGAGTCCACACCTAAACACCTTTGCACTCTCATCTGCAGGGTACCATTCTGTCCCGCTGTTGCCCCATCTGTCCGGCTTTGTTATGAGCCCCTTGTTCACTACACCCTCCGGGAGGCTAGTGAGATGTCAGGAGCTGCCCCCCACCCCGGTCAGTTCCTCTGCTTGTCTGGGCATCTCAGGCATTGGACAAAGGGCTTCAGGCAGGCCCAGCCGATGGGAGCTCTAGAAGCCTCTGGCCAGACCCATCTCACTTAGAGCTAACTGGACCTAACCAGCTGATAAGGGAGAATATTTGTGTATCCTTTCCAGAACTCCTAGAGCCAGAGCTCTAGTCAGGTTCATCTCGGTTTGCTTCCCACCTACGCCCTGGTTCCAGACGATTTCAGCATGCTGTCGGTGCTCAGGAAGTGAGGACTGATCTGAGAGCTGAGATCCCTGCCTCGGTCCTGTCTTGACATACCATCCAAGTCAGATCAGGACCAGCAAGGCCTCCTGTTTCATCTCCCTCTTTCATGCCTCACTTGAGGCTCTATCCACCATAACTACTGCTGAGCTGCCTTAAGGCTATGTTGTACTGTGTACATTCTGTTTCCTCCACCCAAAGGCCCTTCTCCTCCAGGCCAGCCTGGTTATTTCTCGCTAATACATCTTTCCTTTACAGCTTGGTGAGCTGGTTTACTGCTTCCTCTGGGGAACCTTCCAGAACTGGCCCCAGAGACCTCCCTGGCTTGCGCCTGCTCTGTGCTCTGCCCACACAAAACTGTTACATCACTTGGCACAGAGGGTACCAGGACATGGTGCCTGCTTCTCTGTCCATCCTACCCCATGGAGGCAAATGATGCAGCTGGGGAGACCACAGGGCTTTGAATATCAGGCTAAAGAGAGAGGCTTATGTATATTGGCTTAGGTGAGGGGTCCTGAAGGCTGAGGTACCTCATTTGGGGACAGAAAAGTCACCTTTCAATTTGGCTTTCTTCTAGCCTAGAGAATGGAAGGCTAGAACTCAGAAGGAAGAGGGAGGTGGACGTGGGTTCACTACTCTCCTCCCCTGGGGCTTCTTCTCCCATCTATGTCGGTTCTCAGGTCCAGGAGCTCCCCCCAGTGAAGGCATGGTATGTGAGGTCCCCACCCCTCCGCTCAAGGGTCAAGCCCAAACCTCAATCCCCTGTTATGTAAGTGAATTATCCTCTGTCCCTAACCAGCGCCAGCCAGATCTCCTTCTAATTGATTTAATCTCCTCATACAGAGAGCGAGGCCAGGGTTGAAGAGATGGCGTTGATCAGGAGCCAACACGTCAGTGACGTAGGCACATTCATTACAGGGAATCTGGGTCACGGATTGGCTCTCAGTGGCTCTGATCCTCCTCTCTACTCATTTAGGGTACATGGAAGGGCATTTTCAGTCACTCCTCATTCCTCAAGTCCCAGGCTTCCATGGAAGGAAGCGGAGAGTCCCATAAGACTCTTGTCTACCTCTCTGATCTCCTCCAATCCCGGACAGAAATTCCCTGAGTTCCACTCTGAGCACAGGATGCAGCGAAACCTAATTTGTTGAGGAATGAAGAGATGAGCAGATGGTTTAATTTTAGTGGAGAAAAGAGACCTTAATTTACCTTCTGCATTGAGTGAGTCGGCACTCTGTAACTTCCTTGGAAGAGGTGTTCAGATGTGCTTGAATGCCTTCGAGGATGGGAAGCTCACCCTCAAGACAGCGCCTCTCTATGTGGGAACACCACCTGGGAGAAGTTCTTCCTCATATGGGGCAGAGGCATCAGTCTTGGGGCTTCTCTTTGGACTTATCTCTGCCTCCGTAGCCATGGGGCACATCCTATGGGTCCTAGGACAGTCAGATCCTGGGACAAAGTGATCACCTCTCCTGCATTTGTCCTCATCTGAGACGAACACTCCTGGCTCTTTCACCAGCTCTAGTTGGTAGACTTCCTAGATAATTCCCTCCTGTATCTCCTGTGTGCGCAAACTGTAGATGTCACCTGGATTCCAGGGGAGTGTGAATAATGCAGGGCAGGGCAGGAGCGTCTGTCTTTTTTAATCTCGTTATTGTGTTCCTATGGATACAGCCTGAAACCACTGGTATCTGAGCACTTTCCACTTCTGATTCAGCTTAAGCAGAGTCAGCAAGCCCCATCATACTCTGGCACTACCAAAGAAAAGTCTCCAGGAAAAAGACCTCTGTGGGCTGTCAAAATTGCTCAGTGGGTAAAGGTGGTTGCCACCAACCCTGACAACCTGAGGCTGATTCCCAGAACCCGCATAGTAAAAGGAGAAAACTAACTCCCAGTTCTGTGGCATGCATGTGCACAGTTACACACACACACACACACACACACACACACACACACACACACACACACACACACCACAACACACACACACTAAATTTAATAAAAATACCTTTGTGATATTAAGTACATTTTGCCACTCAGGACCACTGGCCCAAGAGTAACACCACCAAGTAGGCTAGGCTCTCCCACATAGATTATTAATCAAGAAGAGGCGCTTACAGACATGCCCACAGGCTAATTTGGTAGAGCCAATTCTTCATTCGAGATTTCTTCTCCCCAACTATATCTAGAATTGTGCCAAGTTGACAAAACCTAACCAGCAGCCTTTTTTATCTGCCTATATATCCTTCTCAGTCTATCCAGAGACTCACTCAAATGTCAGCCACCTTCCCACCCAAACATCTTCCAATCAGTTTAATTCCCATCCATTTTCTATCTCACCCAATTATCTACCTATCCAATCACCCACAAATCTATTCAAATACTCATTCATCCAATCCACATATTTATCTCTTCAACTTCTGTGCTTTTCAGTGGTCTATATATTCATCATCCATCCACTTAGTGATCTACCCATCATCCATCATCTATCTGCCCATACATTATCTATCCATCCATCTATCTATTCTCCTTTCGTCTTGTACTTGTCATGTCAAATATTTTGTTGAGTATTCTGAGGAATTCAGAGTTGAAGAAAATACATTCTCAGGTGCTCTCTTTTTCGTCACTACTCTGGAAGGGGGTAGGGGCAGATAAAGGAAATGGTGCTGAATATCACAAAACAGAAACAAAGCTTTGGAGGGTCAGAGGAGGATGTACCATTTAAATGAAGATATGGATGCCTGCCTGGTAGGGAGACATTTGGTTTTGGCCTTGATGGAATAGCAGGTTAGATGCATAGGTCCATTGAACATAATTCCATGCAGAAGAGACATACTGAAGATGTAGTGCTTAGAGAGCTCAAGTTATGTATCATTCTTTATATGCCTGTCAAAGAGCTGAATACAGTACAGACATCTAAAATGTATTTGCTGATTGGCTTACTTCTTCCTCCATGTTTTTCATTGGGCATCCCAATGATTGATTAGGATAATTGATTTTTTTCCTTTGCAGAGGTTTCTACAGGGGGCTGAGAAATGGCTGGCTTGGTAGAGCTTTCCCAGTATGCTTGAAGTCCTGGCCTTAATCCTCAGCACTATATAAAGAGGGTGTTGTAGTGCATATCTGTAGTCTAGGAGGTGGAGGTAGGAGGATCAGAAGTTCAAGGTCACCTTTAGTTATAGAACCAGTTTGAGACTAGCTTAGGATACATGAGAACCTGCATAAAATTTAAAAAAAAAATTAAGAGGAAGATGTAGAGAAAGAAAGAAGAAAGTGGGAGGGAGGGATAGAAAAAAAGAGGGAGTGAGGTAGAGATAGATATAAATGGATGATAAATAAATAAATAGATAGAGAGATGATAGACAGACAGACAGATAGATAAACATGAGAATTCTGCAGTCTACAGTTGCCTCTCTGGATGGTCTTGGCAAATCCCAAAACAGTTCTGGTTTGTATGCACCCAAGGTTGAATGTCTGACTCCCAGGTGATCATTCTTCTTAATCCGCATAACTTGGGGGTGGTACTCTGGTCTCTTTAGAGACATCAGTATTCCTATATATCTTAAAGGTTGCTTTCTTTTGCCAACACCAATTAATATAATCTTACCCATCTTCAACTTTCTAAGCTTCCGTTCCATGGAAAGAAAGTCTGTGATACAGATGAAGGGATGAATTCTGTTCATTGGAAATTCTATTGGAGTAGAAGCCAGAAACTATGAATTCAAGCCTGGTTTTGCCATGAGCTTCTGTGTGACCTTGGACAAATCATTTTCCTTCTGGTCTAAAGATTTCCTTTCATAGGATCTTAGCATCAAATGTAGCATTTTACATTGTCCAGTGCAGTGTCTTCATACTGCAAATGTAAGATCAAGCTCAGAAAGAAAATACATGTGGCTAGCCCTAGCTAGATTTGTAATACAACCAGGGCTAAATCCCTAATTTTCTGACCTTCTGTTTAGGGGTGCTTTCATCCAACTAGCACATTCCAGTCTCTATATCAGCCTCTGTATGTCTCAAGGCAAGCTTCCTCTTCCACCTCCACTGCCCAGGAAGAACTCCAGGAGCCTTCCAAGCGTCCTGGCTGTGTCCTACTGATTCATGCCTGGGTGGGGGCTGGGAGGCAGCGTTTGAGAGCAAGTATCCCCAGCCTAACAGAGTTAATTATGTTCATCAGGAAGGGAGAAGAGAAAGGAACAAGGCGCTCTGGTTATCTACTGGGCTTTAATCAAATTGAGGAATGAGGAAATCCATCACCCAGAGGCGGAGGGAGTTGGAGAGCTTCGTTTTCTGGCTCAGAGTCCTGGAATGGGTTGGGCGCTGTCCAAGGTGCTGACATCTTCACTTGCTCTGAGTTCCTGGGAGGAGCAGGGAGAGGATCATTCCAGCTTCTAGAAAAGAGGGTGCAGAGTGGACCCTAGAGAGGGTCTAAAGGCATTGAGTTCCTATGCTACTTCCTACATCTTCCTTCTTAAAAATTGTGTCTGTTTGCTTTAAGAAAAACACTCTTTCTTGTGTCCAGTCCTGGGCTGAGATGGAAGGAATATGTAGAGCTTGGAGGAGCCCTAGATTTCTTTCTGTCAGTTAGGCTTCTGGTGCAGCCTGAGGCTGGAGACACAGTCCTTGACCTTGGGGACTTCCTTATCTTAAAGGGACCCATGCTTTCTATTTTATGCAATCCTCAGTTCAATGACAGAGACATAACTTGCCTTTGGGAATGTATTGAACTGGGAGAAGATCATGATTCAACCTTTCACTCTAGTTCAGGCATAATATAATGGAGATGCAACTGTGTCTATCTGGAGCCTCCATTCTGATAGGAAGATAAGCTCTCAGCCTAGCTGAGGATTCAGAGGTAATCTCATATATAGATAGGGGGACAGATACACACAGAATTTTTCTGTGTGCACAATAACTAATTAAGGAGCATGGAGTTTCACACTTATAAATTGGGTTATGGTGCTAGATATTTAGTGTCAATCATGGAAGGCTTCCTGGTGGAGATAAGTTTGAATTAGACCTGAATAAAAACAAGAAACTGGGTGTGGCACTTTAGTTGCAGAACTCAGGAGGCTGAGGCAAGAAGACTGTGAGTTTTAAGTCAGCCTAGGCTACCTGGAGAAAAATGAGGAGAAGAAGATAAAGGAAAAGGAATAAAAGGAGAGACACAAATCCTTAACCTTTAGGTGCCTCAAGAACCAAATCCCTCATTCTCTTTTGTCCCCTTTGAACTAGTGAAGGCTCCGGTCTGACGAGCCACCCAGGATGAAGGGAGTGAAGAACCCATCTGGTAGGATAAGAGGCAGCGGCAGGGTGGGGGTGGCGCAGGGACTGGGGAGACCATTACTTGATTGGGAGGGAAGACAGAGGCCGGGGTGGGGGTGACAGGGGCGCATGGTGGGCAGGAGCAGCTCAGCTCGTGTCCAGGCCATCTGGAGCAATTCCCTCTTGTGTCTGGAACTGACGAGAGGCACTTTAACGAATCGTTAAAGCGAGAGGCTATTAAATCAAAAAAATCACAGGCTTCTTGGCGTTTTGAGTCACAGTCACAGCTAAAGTATCAGAATCCATAGTATCTTAGGAAGGCAGAAAGAATTGGGGCATCTTAAAACCATAGAGCTGCAGAGTGTTAGAGCCAGGAAGGAAAAAAAAATACTAGAGAATCTTAAAGTCAAAGAGAGTCAGAGCCAAAAGGAAAAACCACTCAGTTTATTGACCCCCCCACCCCCACCCCCCACACTTTTTAAACCTTACATCCTGGAGTGCTGGGAGTATGGTCATGTTATCCTGCTTAATTCCTGTAAACCCTAAGTCATTCATGTCTGTCTCTATGCCATACCGGACTTCTGACAAAGCTTTGTCAGACACAGGTTTGCATAACTTCCATGCCAGGGCAGTGATTACCTCTGGGTCCCGCTCTACTCATTGCTGAAGGGCTACTGCAGAGCTCGTCCTTATGTAAGTTGTACCCTCTGTCTCCCTGTAGTGTCTCCACTGGCCCGGCTCATGTCCTCTGATCCATAATGAGTAAGTCTAATCCCCATTCACATGACAGCTGTTTGGATGGTTAAGGACGGCCCTTATTTCTCTCTTCTCTCGGCTAGGCTAAGCTGGCTTGTTGATCATCTAGCTATAAAGAGGACAACAAATCAAAGACTATTCGGGCTGGAAAGGTCCCGAGAGGTCACCTTGACCATAGGCTCCCTTTTAGTGTTAGGCTGTACAGCGGCTATGGTTAGGAGCTCGAAGTTTCAGGGAGACAGATTTGGATTTGAAAGCCAGAGATCTGCTGTGAGCCTGCTGGCAACCTCAGGTCTCAGCCTCCGGTCTCCTTATCCATGAGATAAAGAGAGCAATATTGGCGTGAGAGGGCTGCTGAGAGGATGAGCAGGCCATGCGATGGGAGCTCTCGGCAGAGTGCTTCGCATGCAGCAGGCAGTCGATAAATATTAGCTATAATTATTGGAGGCCCAGTGGGGGTAGGGACTTACTCAGGATTGCAGAGCATCTCAGAGGCAGAGCTGGGGTTAGACCAAGGACTTCTGCCTCTCAGCCTAGGGTCCTTCACTGCTTCACTCTTCTCTGTATCTTCCTCAGAAAAAGAAGACCCCAGAGGGAGGCAGGATCAGTTAGAACACGTGAAATAGAATTTGCCCCACGGTGGCATGTTTATTTAACAAGGAAGCCAGAAGGAAGTGATCCCAGGCCTGATCTGGTGGTTGAACCACGTCTCTGGTGATTTAGGTTTTTTTCCTCCTGAGCTGTGGAGGAGCCCCCACCCCCTTGTGGTCACAAATGTCTGATGTGGCATCAACCAAAGGAAGAATATGGTGGCAAGGAAGCTAGTCTCCTCTCCCACCCACTGTCCCATCCAGGAAGACAGGTTTCTCACCAGATCATCCTTTCATCTTGTCCATCAAAGTCAGTCATGTGACCCGTCACTGGCAGAGAGGAGGGTATGGCCACTGCTGACCTGGGTCATCCCTGTGACTGGGCACCTTGCCAATAGATCAAAGAAGAGGAGATTGACAGTGGGCTAGTATATCAGTCATTTTCCTCATCACTGTGACCAAATATCTGAGACTAAAGAGAGGAGAGCACTAGCTTGGCTCACAGTTTGAAGGGATACAGTTCACCACAGTGGCGGAAGTGACTCATGGCTGTGGCAGGAGCTTGAAGAGGCTGGCTATATCACATCAGCTGGCAAGAAGCAGAGAAATCCAGGTGGAACTGGAGCTGGGCTGGGATGCTCAGGACTCACCCTCCAGGGGCCCACTTCCTCCAGGAGATCTCACTTCTCAAAAAGAAGGCTCCTCTAACAGTGCCACTATATGGGACCAAGTATCCAAACCCGTGAGCTGTGTGTGGGAGAGGACATCACACCCAAGCCATGGCCAGTGGCAATCAGTCTGTCATACTCACCTCTTTCTTCTTCAGAATCACTCTCCACCTCTGCTAGGAAGTCTCCCTGGTTGCACCCCTTTATCTAAATATTTTTATTCTTTCTGCAATTGAACTAATTAGAGAGCATTCCCGGTTGCAGTACTTTCTCCTTTCTCTTGTCCAATGTTGCCTTCTCAGCCTAGCTGTGATCACTGTGAGAGTAATAGATGCCTCTAAGGAATAGGTACCCACTGGGTGCCAGCTGTCATTCTGGGCATGTGGGTGACACCTTCCAAATGGCCCCAGCACACACACAACTGGTAGTTGTACATTTTGTATTCTCCCTCCACATTGTAGTAGGGTGAGTCTGATGATCAAAAGAATGTGGCTAAGGTTGCATGCAGTGTGTCACCTCCAGAACACCAAGGCTTCCATCTTGATAGCACAGTCTGTTTCTTGGGTCATTCATTCTGAGGGAAGCTGGCTTACATGGGATGGGCAGCCTCAGGGGGAGGACCATGTACAAAGAACAGAAGACTTCAGTCCACTGCCAGGTTTGAGATGAATCTTCTAGCCTCAGTTGAGCCTGTTTGTTTGCTTGTCTTGTGTGTGCACGTGTGCGGGCACACACTTACCATGGCTCACATATGTGGAGGTCAGAGGACAGCTTGCGGGAATCTTCTCTCCTGCCACCTTGTGCGCCCCAGGGACGGAGCTGAAATCACTAGGCTTGCCAGCCAGTGTCTCTACCCACTGAGCAACTTTGCTGGCCGTATTTATTTCTTTATTAGGGTCTCACTATGTAGCGCTGGCTAGCCTGGAAGTAACTATATAAACTAGGCTCTCAGAGATTCTCCTGACTCTGCCTACGAAGAGCTGTCCTCAAAGATGTGTGCTACCACGCCTTGCCCTATGTTTATTTTTGAGGCAGGGTCTGGCTCTGTAGTCTCTCTCAAACTTGTGGCGATTTTCCTGCCGTTGCCTCCTGATGGCTGAGAGTAGAGGAGTGTGTTATTATGCCTGGTCCCTCACTGAGCCTTTTGCTGACCATGGTCCTGGCAGATACTTGAATGCAACTTCAGTGAGGACCCCGAGCCGCAGCTCCCGCAGTGGGGACCCTGAGATGCAGCTCCCGCAGTGAGGACCCCCAGCCGCAGCTCCCGCAGTGAGGACTCCCAGCCGCAGTTCCCGCAGTGAGGACCCCGAGATGCAGCTCCCGCAGTGAGGACCCCGAGCATCAGCTCCCGTGTAACTCACTAGTCTTGACTTCCAAAAATGGTGCAAGATTAAAAAAAAAAATACTTGTTGGTCTAACCTGGTACATTCTGAGGTCATTTGTTATTCAGTAATAGGTAACTATACACTGCTACGCTTTTGTATTCCTTCCTCAATTGTTTCGATGATTGGGGTTTATTATTTACAAAGGAAAAAAAAATCAAGACTCAGCTGTGCAGTGACATTACTCTTCTGGGGAGTGACAGAGCTGGGCTATGCATACCTGGGACAAAGGCTGAAGAAGACATGGGGACATGAAAAAATGAAAAAGCTGAAGCCAAAGCCCAACTCTGTTTGCTGTGTTTTTCTCTCCTTCTTTTTCATCCCACTTGCCGTGGACGTGGGATTCAAAAACACAAACCTCTGCGCTTCTTTTCTTTAAACTTCTTTTCTCTTGTTTTTATTTATGTATATGTATGTGTGTGTGTACAGGAGTGTGCAAGTGCCCGAGGAGGTCACAAGAGGGTGTCAGGTCCCTGGAGCTGGAGCTGGACTTACAGGCAGTTGTGAGCCACCCAGTGTGGGTGCTGGGCACAGAATTTGGGTCCTTTGGAAGAGTAGCAAGCATTCTTAACTGCTGATCCATTTTCTTATCTCTCTCTCTCTCTCTCTCTCTCTCTCTCTCTCTCTCTCTCTCTCTC